CTGTCTAAGGCGATGGCGACTAGGTGGAGGATTGACGCGGTGCAGCAAAGAACGTCGGATGAAGTCCACATGTCGCAAAGCTCCGGTCCGAGGGTCCATTGATTGCTCACTTCGTAAACAGCGGACAACGGCATGACGAGACATGCCACCAGTAGGTCAGCAACAGCAAGCGATAAAATCAGATAGTTGGCAACGTTCTGGAGGTGTCGTTCCAGAAGAATCGCTGCTATCACGAAGACATTTCCTGGAACAGAATTGATATTTTTAGTTTTAATTGCAAACATATTAACATCACATGCAAAAAACAAAATTTAGTGGTGAAGGTTGGTATAAGTGGTTGAACAGATCAAGAATGAAATCTTTAGTATGTCTATTCCCAATCAACTGATGACCAACGTTGACTGTATCTAGATGAGACAGATGATATTTCGGAACACTCATGTGCCCGGCAGTAGCAAGGAAAGCAATTACTGAATAAATAAGACCTCGTACCACCATCACTAAAGAAACAAAAATCTTGCAGGAAAGTCAGTAATAAAACGTAACCCTTTCGACCCCAGAAAAAAATTGATCAAAGTTCTGTCGGTTTCCAGCATTATATAGTTTGTAATACTAGTCCTAATGGGGAGTCGGTGGTCGCAACGGTTTAGGCGAAGACTCGGCGCTCATCACTGTAAGGTAAATGTCCCGGGTTCGAATCCAGCAGCCCTGCTTTCCAACCGGACACAAAAACACCGGCACCCTGAGGGTTGATATGACCTGTCCTGTTGCGAACCCTCTTAAAAAATAAATAAATAATAATAATGTTCTTAATGTTGTTTACAAATTGGTTTACGGGATTGTTTTAATCCGCCTGGATCATGAATCAATTTCCGAAAATTATTAAATTAAACAGTCTTATAATTGTCAAACAATAATAAACATTTATTGTTTTACTTTCACAGGCTCGCTCGTCCTAAAAAATATTATTTTTAAATGTAACAAAATGTACATAACTCATTGGAAATTGCGAATATGTAAAATTTGATTTGAACGTACATCTTAATCGTGAGATGCGGTCTAGTGTGATTTAGAAATACTTTGGTTGAATATAAAAAATATTTTTTGCATTGTATTCACTTTTTTCAACATCCTACATGTATTTGTTAAATTTAAACAATGTTTGTAAATCCCAGGCCCTGAAGATGATCTCAATAAAGATCGAAACGTTGGCACGATAAAGAAAATATTTTTCTGAAACCAACATCACACCAGATCGCATCTCACGATTTCCGAATAAGTCTATCATAAAAGAAAAAATATATCATTGCAAATTTTTCTTTATTTAATTATTTGGTAATAACTAATAACAGACAGGAGAGTAATATAATTTTTGACATTGAATTATATAAATTAATATATAACGATCTGTTCGTCAATCATCATTACAAACAATACTTAGAATTAGGAGTCACAGCTTTAAATTCAATTATTTGGAGAAATGACTTTAAATCTCCTTTCCTGTGACTCCTCCTTGCCTTATTCTCGTATAGCCCATTTACAAATTATATTTTTTATGATGGAGACATAAACATTTATTGTTTTACTTCCACAGGCTCGCTTGTCCTAAAAAATATTATTTTTAAATGTAACAAAATGTATATAACTCATTGGAAATTGCGAATATGTAAAATTTGATTTGAACGTAAATCTTAAATGTGTGGTGATTAGTGACCGTTAGTCGATGATTATTCGGAAATCGTGAGGGTCGGCCTGGTGTGATGTAGAAATACTTTCATTGAATATAAAAAATATTTTTTTGCATTGTATAAATTCACTTTTTTTTACATCCTACATGATTTGTTAAATTTAAACAATGTTTGTAAATCCCAGGCACTGAAGATGATCTCAATAAAGATCGAAACGTTGGCACGATAAAGAAAATATTTTTCTGAAACCTACATCACTCCAGACCGCATCTCACAATTTCCGAATAAGTCTATCATAAAAGAAAAAATATATCATTGCAAATTTTTCTTTATTTAATTATTTGGTAATAACAGACAGGAGAGTAATATAATTTTTGACACTGATTTAAATAAATTAATATATAACGATCTGTTCGTCAATCATCATTACAAATAATACTTAGAATTAGGAGTCACAGCTTTAAATTCAATTATTTGGAGAAATGACTTTAAATCTCCTTTCCTGTGACTCCTCCTTGCCTTATTCTCGTATAACCCATTTACAAATTATATTTTTTATGATGGAGACGTCAGATCTTTCATTTTAGCAATTTGATTATACTTTCATTAGACAATCTAAATTCTAGGTCATATTTCGATTCAATAATAAATGTTTATTATACTGTACAAAACCCTTTATTTTTAAAATTAATAAATTTATTTTTACACATTACAAAAAAAAAATTGAGTGCGTGTTTGTCATCCAGGTTTGGAGTACATAAATCTGTACAACTTTAAAGTGCTGTTACTTTTAAAAAGAATGTACTTGTATACGATCCTCGGAGGTAAATGTTCAAAAGATATCGTTGTAACACGCACAACCCCAGGCATTATCAAAGAGCAGACGTAAGTTAAATAATCGCCAACGTTTCAGGCAATCCGGAAAGGTTTTCAAGAAAGGAAGCTCTCAGAATAATCTTTATAATTAAAACTGAGGTCGGGAAAAATTTAATTTAAAGTGGTTGCGTATTTGAAATAAAAGAGTGCTAATTAACATCGTCTTCTAACGATCAAAGGATATTTTGAATCAAAGAGGATTCCTTGATTGGAGTTTAATCTATGAGGGAACTTTTTACCGAAATTCAAATTTCAAGCGTCTTATATTGTGTGATTTACATTTCTTTATAACTGGAATTCTCACCGTCAAAACCATATATTTTTAAATCGTCGGACAAAAGTTTCGTTTCGTTACTATTAAATTTCAGAGGAGGCTAATATTGTTTATTAAAAGTTATAAGATAGCGTGACAAGCAGTTGATATTTCCGTCCGTACGATAAAATCAACCGAGATAGTCACAGGAATAACAAAGCAGGAAATTTAAAACAATTACTGAAAAGAGCAAATACACACCCCAGTTGATTCTCATTCAAAATGGAACCAAAAAGTCGTACTTAACTATGGTCTGATTTTCAGCAGTTTCAGAGTTATTCCACTTTTTCTGTTTGTTTTTTTAAGATTTCACGGCCCTGCTTCAAATGAGCAGTGATAACTTCAGAACTAAAAGGTTTTGACAAATCCGTTGATACCATTAAAAACTACGTTAAATTTCCAATAAGCTGTGATCAATACTGAACTTGTAAACGTTAAATTTACTAGTTTTCGCGGTCCGCTTGACCAATTAATATCTAGTTATTCAGATATCGTGAGATGAGGTCGGGTGTGATGTAGGTTTCAGAAAAACATTTTCTTTATCGGGCACTCTCAACAGGACACGCAAGGATGGCACAATTGCACAGAAGACAAATACTTTGAGCCCTGAAGATGATCTCAATAAAAATCGAAACGTTGGCACGATAAAGAAAATGTTTTTCTGAAACCTACATCACACCCGACCGCATCTCACGATATCTGAATAACTATCGATTAACGGTCACTAATTTCTACACACACCAATTAATATCTTTCATTTCAATTTTTTTATAATTAAGGCTTCTGAAAATTTCAATTTTCCAAAAATTAGCGCCGCTTTAGGGGGAGAGGGTGTAGACTCATCGTCAAAATTATAAGGGACACCCCTTGTAGATAGACACATGAAATTTGTTACAAAGGTAGATTTTATATTGTAGAAAAAGATAAGATTCTGAAAATTGCAATTTTCCGAAAATGAATGTCGCTTTAGGGGGAGAGGGTAGTCTTATCATCGAAATTACAAGCCGCTTCCCGTATAAATAGAAATGTGATATTTGTTACAAATGTTCGTCTTATATTGTAAAAAAAAGAATGTTAAAATTCCAATTGTCCCAAAATTAATGCCGCCTTAGGGGAGGAGTAGTCTCAGCATCAAAATTATAAGACACTTGTTAAAGTAGAAACGTGAAATTTGGTCTTATACCAAAACCAAGACGACGTCCACGATGCTAAACGAACAAGAAAGTATGCTATCCTAACAAAAACCTAATAACCTTAATAAACCAAACCTAATGAAAATTTAAAAATAGATTCGTTTAACGTTTAACAATATAATAAATAATTTTCTCTCTCTGAATTGCTATTTGTAAAATTTCCGCGATTTAAAATCGGAATTAAACAAAATATATATAATTATTCGCATATATAAATGATATTAGGTTTGTTATTTATTGTACAGGTTAACATACTGCATTGTAAATGTAATTATAAAAAACTCGAGATAGAAATATCAAACGGAACTTTTCATTCTCTTTCTAGTTCGGTTGAACAGGCTCAATTTTTAATATACCACTTTAATATCCTTTCAAAATGAGTAATCCCAGAATAATCCACACGATCATCGTTCCAGTTCTGAATTGTCGAAGTAATCTACCCTATTGTTGGAGTTATACGGACTTCAATTGTTTTAAAATTATTATTATAATGTATTAAATGTCTAATGGATAGATTGTTGCAATGTATATTATAATGTATTATACCCGGATATCTATTAATTTTTTAAGTATATGAATAAATTCATACGGAGAATTATCGACCAGCGTTGGACAATTTGATTGTAAGAATTGGGAATCTGGTCCTTATGAATCTCTAGTTTTCGTTGCCCGCTTGACCAATTAATATTTTTCAATTAATTAAGGTTTTTAGTTGAGATAAAAAAGTCAATGTCACGAGCGGGATTCGAACCCACGACCTTCGGCTAGATACGCCGCTACTCTACTACTTGAGCTATCGTGACTTCGATCCACTCGGCCACCAACTTCTCCAATAGATTACACGACATTTGAAAAATGGCAAAAAGGAAGGAACATTTAAAAGGTGGGGTTGAGATGGGAGTTAGTGACCGAGTGGATCGAAGTCACAATAGCTCAAGTGGTAGAGCAGCGGCATATCTAGCCGAAGGTTGTGAGTTCGAATTCCGCTCGTGACACTGACTTTTTTATCTCAACTAAAAACCTTAATTAATTGAAACTTATGAATAACTATAAAAACTAATTTTAATAAATAAACATTTAATTCTTGTCTTGGGGAGGAAGAGAGATGGCCTGAAGTCCAACCACCCGTTGGTTGTCGCGCACAAGGCGTCAGAACAACTTTACATTTTTTTTT